AACCTTCAACTGCAACTTTAGAGAAATTGGAATTAGAATAAAGAAATGAGCTTGTGGAGAAACTCTTGGAATCGAAATGGGAATGAAATCAGAAATGAGGATAATCAGAATCGAAATTGGAATTAAAATCAGAAATGACCTTGTGGAGAAACTCTTGGAAAGAAAGAAAACAACAATTCTTTTCTAGAAGGTTTGGGAAAATGCTTTTTGGTTCCCTTTATTGCCCTTTTTTTTTTATTCTAATCTTAGTTCAAGTTCAGATTTGACATTGTTTCGAATCGGCTTTTTTTTAATTAATCCGCATTTACCAAATAAAATGCAAGAAGTTACTTGCATTTGGTAAAATGCTACTATAGTAAATCAAGTAAATATAAAAAATCTAGTTGCCTGGTATTTGGTAAAAACGCAAAAATAGAAATGCAGGTAATGAGTTTTTTTCTAATGGGAGCATGCACAAACTACAAAATAACAATTACTTACTCTTCAATAAAAATAATTACTTATAAATCTTAGATAATCTAAATAATTCAAATAATTCTTCCACATCCACTTCTTGTTCCTCATTATTCTCCCATTGTTCAAGAAAACTCAACCTCGAGTTTTGAAGTGTTGAAGTTTTGAAATGTTGAAGTAGCAAAAATCTCAAGGTTGCAAGATACTTTTGTGATAGTAGAACTTCACTTGGCTTGAATTCTCCTTTCAATCCTAGCAAACTTGATAAATACAGAGATTTGTTTTGTGGCTAACACTGTTCTTGTTGCAAAATTAACACCTTGAACCCCTTGAAAAATAGAATTTAATTAAACATCATTGAAAATCTTTTCAAGACATGCTTTGATTTCCACATTTGTTTCTAGCATATCTTGGAATTCTAATGCATCATCCAGCTACTTTTCAACTTCTTTGTTGTCCACTTTTGCCACTAAATCTTTTTTTATGTTGTGAACATCCACTTCCACAATCAAATTCTCCTCATGAATCCCTTGTCGATCAATTTATCAACCCACTATTTAAATGTAGATTTGATTTCTTTCCAATATCTTTTTGTAACTCTAGAATTCAACTTAGTGTTTGTCATCATGATGGAAGAAAAAGTCAACAACAAACTTAAGGATTTTTTTTTTTTTTTTTTTGGTGTAAGATCTTTTGCTTTGATACTAACGAATGCATGACAAGTTAGGG